AAGGTAGGTGGGAGAGTGTTTTAGTGTATCTAATACTTTGTTCATTGAAACTCCATAAATGTTACTTGCCCTGCAAGCCCATATGCCACTCTTCACGTAACGAGTGTTCAGCTACGGAGAAGATGTCCAGCCATGCTTCGCTTCCTGTAGCCATGCCACGTCCGTACACATGCTTGTCATGGATACTGTTCTGGACAATATCCGTTTTCGTCCAATATGTGCAGGCGACTTTTCCATCTGGCGATATGGCGTCTATCATGAGGACTTTGTTCTGCTCTTGCAAGACTGGAAACTCTGCTTGGAACCAAAGGCCTCCTTTGTTCACGTAGCCTGGAGTATCTGTGCCTGGCCCAATGCTTGCGTCCATGACTGTCGCAAATACTTTGCATAGCGACGCAAAGGCTTTGGACATGTTGGTGTAATACTGTGTCCGCCAGGTCTCGTTGTTCATGATACAGCGTAGTGGATTGGTAGTTCGGGCTTCGCTGTTGTAGTACTTTTTTGGCCAGACATCCTGTGCTTGTTTAGCAGAAGCCAGAGACTATGCAGCGAATATGCAAATACCCAGATCGTTGTCATAGGAGACTCCCCATTTGGTCTCGTTTTCGCGTAACGGCGCGCCGTCTCGCTCAACCCGCGCGTGTAGAATAGACAGAGGTTAGGTTCTGGTCGCAATGTCGCTTCCGCTTGGAATAACTCGATGGTGTATTTGTCGACGGGATCCCAGGTCGCCTCTGAGCTGTGGAGCTGCGTGCATTCATCGTCCCTAAGCTCTAGCGGAGCAGCTTCGGCGATGAGGAAGAGTTGGTAGAGTGTTACGACAAAGGAAACGAGCTTCATGACGATGTTGATGTGTGACAGATCGTGGGTGAGGGTTCCCATGCAACAGGGTGGAGCTGCATCTAACGTAGGCGTAAGCGGCCCCCAAACGCCTATCTATGGACGAGGCTGAGCGTCAGGCGTGCATGCTCGGCGCCTGCGCCCTGGCGTCAAGTTTGCGCATCTTGTCAGCTTGAATACCAAGGATACGTTCGCAGCTCACACGATCAATCCCACCTCTTTAGTGATCTGGTATGCCTCCGATGCACGTTGTTTAGTAGCACCTAGATAGTCAAGGCTCACTCGGATCAATCGTGGACCGCGCAATACCCAACCAGCGATTTCGCCAATAACAACATCTCAACGGTGTGCCATGCACATATCACCGTGCATCGCGACCTGATAGCAAATTGAAACACTTTGGCTACCGAAATGATAAATGGTGGGTGGTGGGTGGAAGACAATAGGTGGCAAATTGCAAAATGGTAACGAAGCGCCTGCACAGCCCTGCCCAGGCGCTAACTCGGGTGCTCGGAGTAGACCTAGCCCGCCCCCCGCAATCGTCCTGATACCAAAGGCGCATCTAGTAATGTCTGTAGATACCAGACTCGACGCGACAACGCTGGATACATAAAAGCAGTCACCGTCAACCTTGAAAAGACGCGGAACTGCTGTTTCACTTGTTTTAACCGAGCACCTTTCCAGCTACCAAACGCTGGCACGAATCGAAGCCATCAAACTCCCAGCCTGCAACGCACTCATGATACGATTCTCATATGCTACTACTTAAGTAGCAAGCTGGTCGGTCAGACCCTTTGCAGCTGTCTCTCGTCTTTAGCCACACTCTTTAGGTTGGCACTGAGGTCTGTGGCAGCGGAGAAGACATGGTACGAGTAGCGCGATCTTTGTGAGTTTTGCTCACGATACTGCCAGGAGAGACTCGCAACATAGTCGTGGTCGTCTCGCCCCATTGTCCAGACCCGAACTTCGCAGCAACGCGCTTTAGATGTTGGTTCGCGAACGAAGAAGATTTCAAATTAATATACATAGCTACTCTCGCGTAGTTGACAAAATTGAGCCCAGATTACGAGCGATATTTCCTACACTCTTTCTTCGCCCACGCCTGGCTTGTTGCGCTACTCCAAGAAAATCTGAATTGATAGAAACGTCAGCACCGCTAGTGCTAGGCCCTGCGTGAGCATCGTCATCGAGGATCAGGAGCATGTCTTTATCAACGGCATTTAGGACATGCAGCAATTCGCGGTTGGTGTCAATCTCTTTTCGCAGTCTCTCGATCATCTTGAAAGCAGTCGTCAGCCTCAGTCCATAATGTTGTTGCACTCGCACTAACCTCAATTACGGGTGGCTTGAGCTCTGCGAAATTCGACTGCCGATGGTTCCAAGGTATGAAGAAGTAAGAAGTATTCTGATGGATGCGATTGCGGTCGGTTTCAAAATCTCTGAGACGCTCGTATCCGCCAAAGTACCAGCACATGAACTCCAGGAACACACACCCGAGAGCCCAAACATCGCATTGACTACTGAGCTCACCACCGTCTAATTGACACTCGGGTGACTGATAGGATGTCGAGCGTGGGACGGTCTTCCTGTCTTTGACGGAAATTTGTTCGTTGTCGCTGAACTGCGTTGTCCCGAAGTCCGAAAGCTTCAAAATACCAAACATGTAATCGGTTGTTCCAGCAGAAGATACAGGAGGATACCACAAGATGTTACTGGGCTTGATATCACCGTGCCGACCGAACAAACTTTTCGGATTCCGTTGCCCTGGCGATTGGGACGATTGTGGGCGGGATCGTGGAGCAGGTTGTGGTGCTCCAGAGGTGTTGTTGTAAGGCATTGAGGTGTTGGATAGTGTCTTGTAGCGATGTATTTGAGACACCGCCTCGGCTAGGCCATAACACTGGTGCGTCAGCCAGGCAGAAAGCTTCTCATCATCACCCAAGGATCGAGGATGATTCCATGCCCAATACTGGTCGAGATCAGCATCAGCCCAAGGGAAGATTAGACAAAGGTAGTCACGTTGCTGGTAAGTCGCGAGCAATTTAACTAAATGATGGTGAGCGTGAAGCGTCTTGCTCAGGTTTTGCAGCACTTTCATTTCACGCTTGACATCATTGCGATTCTTGAGTAGAAGCTTCTTCACCGCAACGACGTCGCGAGGAACCTGGCACGTTGTCAGTTTATAAGAAGCTTTTTCGCGGTGCTTGCTTACCTCGCTTGCGTCAAACTCATGATGATCAGGGTGAACCTCAGCTCTGTATACTTGCGCAAACCCGCCTTGACGACCTTCATCTGTCCAAGCTATAAATGGTAGGATATAACTCTCAGAGACTTCAAGGTGTGCATCTGTCTTACTGTTCGGCTTGCGAAAGACAGGTGCGAGTACGTACCACTGGCATTCCAGAAAGCGATGCACATTGTAAGAGCTTTTGAGACACTTCAGTGCCGTTACCACTTTCCCACCATGCCGCAATTTGAGCATACTCTCCTCGAGAGGAAGATCAGCATCGCAGACCTGTTCTCTTACGAAAGACCATATTCTCTTAGGTCGATCGATCAGCAGCAAAATCGCGAAAATCAGCTTGTAATATGGCCCGTCAGGTTGAGTGGTGTCATCACCATGACCCTGCCCAGTCTGCCCATGTCCAACGGCCTCATCTTTGGGATGCATCTCAATTCTTAACTTGACGGATGAATGCCAGGGGTGCTTCAGAATCCTTGTAGGAAGATATGCTATCCTTGACAGTTCACGTTCCACTGACCGCGACGTGATAAGCTCATCCAAACGCCCTTTCGGCAGAAACTTTCGATTGGTCCAAGACTCGCATTTCAAGGCTATTCGAAGTTGTTCACCAAGGTGATTCTCATCGAGAACAAGGCTGCCGAGAGTCAAGTTTTCTGTCCTCTGTTGGCGCTTCATCCGCGTAGTTACTGGTCTTTCTTCCAGTTTCGTGTTTTCGTTCTCTGTGACATCTAGTGTAGGTGGAAGGACCGCTGAGCGAGTTCTCCGTGGACTCACTTCTGCCCGTCGGCCTCTGGGAGTCATAGCCAGCGACCCATCTTCAGAAAAAACCTTTCTGTGGCCTTTCGTGGCAGTTTCTTGGATCAAAGCGCTCAAACCGTTTATGTTAGGTATCTGACGATATAATAGGGTTTTGCCCTCGTCGGTTGTGTCGGCTGGTGAGGCTGCTCTCGCAGGTTGCGCCATGTCGCTCTGCATCGCGCTGTGTAACCTGTCGTCAGATGTCAACCATCGAATGGAATATCTCATAATGCTATGATTCGCTTACCCTGTAATGAAGCGTATCGCGTGAATGGATTATGCACGCGCCCGTTCGAAGTATCCGTTCATTTGGTGCATCTACCTAGGTACTATTGACATATCTTCTGCATTCCTGGATGGATAGGCTGCATGATGCCGAAAGATCAAGCGCTGCCACCCACTTATAATGCCCATGGCTTTTCAGCTGTGATGCGCGTCAGCAGCATGTCGCATGCATGGTGGGAGGAGGACCTCCAGCCTCGACCCCGCAGTCACCGCACAGGGCATGCCGTCCCGCTTCAGGCCGCCTCACCAATTTGCCTTGCCGCTGCCTTCTTTTCGGATCCCCCACAACACCCATTCAGACGTTACAGCTGCACACCAAGTCCAGCCACAATATCGAACATGCGCATCTGATCACGAATGTCTGCATGCAGCAGACTGGGATCCAGTGAGAGTCTTATCTTTGTCCGCTGATTTGCTGAGCAGAGCCTCATCTCCGATGATACTGGCATGGCGATGGCTATCCTTCCAAGTAAAATGACCGCAGCGGGCGGCGGCGGCCATCGGTCTTCTACGAATCCACAGATGCGACGTCAGCTCTTAGCAAAACGAGGACCAGTGAGCCGAAGAGCCGCAAGAGCTATTTGCGAGGTCTGATGGTGCTTATATGCCTATCGTCGGCGGCTGAAGATCTGGTCTATCGGCTCCTCGAACCCTACTGCCGGCCTTACACTTGTCTACTAACGAACATACTTACGATAGAAGACAGCCAGCTGTGTCTTCGAGTGGTGAGCAGGTGATGGAAACTGACGACATGTCTACGTCGGGATCCGACACCGATTCCAACCCCGCTGCGTCGCTGTGGGATAAGCTCTTTGTCGCCACGCAGGAAAGCATGTTCGAAAGGACAGAGGGAAAAAAGTTCATTCCAAGAAGCACTTTCGATGAGATCTTGGCGAGAACCGCATCAACTCAGAGGGACAGACGCAATTTTGTGCTTCGAGTTATGGGCAGAGAACTAAACAGGCCTAGCGAGGAAGACATCGCACTCGCAGATTACATCCTGGGAAGCGCACAGAAGGTTTTCCTCATCGCAGTTTACATACAATTAGACCAACTCCACGCCGCAATGAATCTATTCAAAGATGCTAGGTTCACAGATGAGAGGTTGCCGATTAAAGAATGGAAAGGGGACAAGTTGAAGTGTGAACTAAAGAGTCATCCATTCGTGCTGATGGAGAAGGAGAAAGACAAAAGCAAGAGCACAAAGCGCATATGGCGTGTTCATTCCATCAGTTTATTCCAGGACGACCAGTGGATTTTCCTCACACCGACCATTTCAGCACATGATCAGAATCGCAGTTTTGACAACCGCTGTCCAATACCGTTTACTACGAAGAACACACAGCAAAGAAGCGGCGCACATGGCATTGTATACAAGTATACTATCCACCCTGCGCATTACAAGAATTCACTTCATCAGGTAATTCACGTCATAGTCCAAGACCAACTTGGATATGCGGGCTAACGGCGGATCGCAGTACGAGACCGAGCCCTCCGTGGTCGCTGTCAAGGCCTTTCGGACCGGCGGCAAGAACGTGGCTGGCGATGTGAAAAGAGAAGTCGACGCGTTGGCCAAGATGAACCAACTCGGACAAAAGCATATTGTCCGGTTCATCACGTCCTTTCAGCGCGGTACACAAGAGGATCTGGAACACTATGTTTTGTTCGAGTGGGCGGACGGCGGGAACCTCAGCGACTTTTGGCATCAACCACAAACACCAAAGCGAACGGCCTCGTTAGTCAAGTGGGTAATCGAGCAACTTTGTGGACTTTCAAGAGCGCTCAGAGCAGCCCATTATATGCCAAATGGGGCATGTTACCGCCACGGTGATTTGAAACCCGGCAACATCCTCTGGTTCCCTGACAGCGATGGATATGGCACGCTCAAGATCGGTGACTGGGGTGAGGCAAAGATTCACAATCAAGTTACTGCATTGCGCCACGGTCGCGTGGACACAACTGCGAAGTACGGCACAAGAAGATACGAACCACCAGAGACTGGCCTGCATCCGCTTCTGCCGAAGGGGACTCCGCATGTAAGGTCCCGCTTATACGACCTCTGGGGTATGGGCTGTATCATCCTCGAGTTTATCATCTGGCTGTTGTACGACCATGAAGAGCTCAGTAGATTCAACAACAGTAATCAAGGATACTTCGGTTCTTCTGACATGTTCTACGAGATTAGTCACGAGAGAGTTGTACGAATCCATCGCGTTGTGGAACACTGGATGGAGCACATGGCGAAGGACGGACGATGCCGTTCAGGTGAAACGGCTCTCGGAATTCTCCTCCAAATTGTTCGTACAGGTCTTTTGGTCGTTAAGCTCCCCGAAGAAAGTGGTCTGGCCCGTTCAGCTGATAACGGGATGCCTTCCTTTCCGCATGATGACAGCCCATTGATCAGCATCACCACGCCAGATTCCACAACTCATGAGATCATCCATGATTCGTCATCAAACCCGCGGACCAGATTTCCTGCCGATAAGCTTGAGACGGAATTGCTCCGAATAGCTCAACTCGGAGGAGGTGAACACTACTGGTATCGAAACCAGGGGCCAAGATCAGCGCCAGGGGACATCATTGGCATGCCTCATCTACCGGTACCTACTGGCCACAGAGCGCAACCTGATGACCTCATCACCCCTGCAATTGACATGGTCGATTATGCGCATCCATCATTAGATCCAGAGGAATGGGAGTTCGAACTCGATAACAACTTTGCTGCGACCCTGTCGTCTCGGTTAAGGAGTATCATGGGAATATCTCTGCATGAAACTCCGCAGTCAGCGAAGCTGTGCACCATTTGCAGAGACTTTCAGGGAAGGCTACTGGACGCCGATTTTGCAATCTCCTATGCTACAAAAATACTCCGAATAAATTCGGAGGCCAAGAGCTGTGATCTGTGCTATTTGCTATGGCAAAATTGCCGCGACAAATTGAATGGGGGATGCGAAAGTGTGCATTTACAAAGGGCGGGTTCTGCTATACGAATAAGAGGCTTGAAGCATCCGGTACTTACCGTATTACGGAGCGATGGTAAGTCACCGCTCTAACTTTGAAACGACTATCTTTTGCTCACTGATGTCTTCAATGTAGCTGTTGGCGGCCGCGCGCATGATATTCAAATCGGATTTCCTGAGCTCTCAGGGGCAGGTACGAATTTGCATCTTCGCTTGATACGGGGTTGGCTTGATGATTGCGATGAAAAGCACTTCGAGCCTGTTTGTAAGCCTCCCGGGGGTACAAAGCTGGCGAAGGATACAAGTATCAGACTGCCGACTCGTCTGATTCACGTTGGCAGCGATGGCGATCACGATGTCAAGCTCCAGGAGATGCACGGGCAGACTGGAAATATCGGTGACTGGATCGCGCTTTCTTATCGCTGGGGCGACTTCCCACCCTTCTCTACCACTCGACTAAGCCTCACTCGTCATATCAAGGGCATGGCGCTGTCGGCGTTACCTTGCACGTTCCAAGATGCAATTAAGGTAACTCGCGCTCTTGGAAAGGAATACCTATGGATCGACTCTATCTGCATTGTACAAGGCGAAGACGGTGACTTTAGTTCTGAGTCCAAGCGGATGGAAGATGTGTACAGTGGTGCCTACTGCGTGTTAGCCGCCAGCTGCGCCACCGATCAGAGGTCAGGGTTCTTGCTCCCTCGAGCAAAACGAGAGCATGTCGCCCTGAACTGCGAGAAAGATGGCAGTAGTGATACGATCTACATTTGCAGTACGATTGAAGATTTCCGTGGTCACGTACTACAGGGCGCACTGCACGGGCGTGGATGGGTGTTGCAAGAGCATGCCTTGGCCAGACGTACGGTGTTCTTCACCGAGCATCAAACCTATTGGGAATGTGGTCATGGCGTTCGATGCGAAACTATGGTAAAAATGAAAAAGTGGGTGATGGATTCCTAATTCATTTGGCGTAAGCCGTTGGCCGATAGAAGCTAATTGTGTCGTTAGTGAATCCGCTGCTTTGCTCGGGGACCCAGACTTCCCCAGAATTTTCGACCCTGCGAAATACGGTGAGCGCATTCTCAGGTTTCAGGAGCTGTATCGACAGTATTCTCGGTTGGATCTTTCAGCAGATTACGACCGACCGGCAGCCATTGGCGGCTTGCAACAGCGTCTTCTCCGCACGATGGGTGTGCGTGGCGGATTCGGCATCTTGGACGACCCAGACAAGAGCGGCTTCCTTCACCGTAGTCTCCTGTGGCATCGTGGAGAGGATTTCAAACAACTGAAATCAATCGAATTTCCAAGCGATCGAGAAAGCGTGCCGTCTTGGTCCTGGATGTCAGTTTCGGGTGGAATTGACTACTTCGCCTTAACATGGCGTAAATATGACTGGCAAGTAATACAACCCCCGTGGTCACCTTCCCCTGTCAGAGCTCCCAACGCTTTCCATGGAACAGCACAAGTCTTTGATATCACGGCTGCAAAGGTGAACGAGGATGATGTTATATTCGACAATACACTGGATTCGGAGGTTCTGCACTCAATGGCAATTGTGCTAGGCATCGAGAAAGGGTTGATGGAGATTGAAGACAAGAAGCATTACATACTCGTGGTCAGGCCAAAGGCGATTCCCCACGCGGATGGTACCGTGCTATACGAACGGGTCGGAGCAGGTTATGTACCAGGAAGATGCCTGAGAGGAGAGACTAGATCCTGTACGCTAGTATGATCCGTAGTCGTGCCTTCTCGCTTGTGAGCTTAAGTATCTGGGCGGTTATCACGTCAACTGCAGCACATCAGAGCCGATCACCCCATTAATACTGAAGCAGCAATACAGCTGGAATGTAACCATGTATGAGCATACTATTGTGTTTTGATGGCTCCTATTTCTGGCAGCATACGATGATTTTCACCCACTTCAAGTGCCAGAGTCTAAGTTACAGTCGTTGAGGATACTGCACACATCTGTCGCAACCTCAAGTACCGAGCCTGGGGTGGGCTGCAGGGAACATAGTACAAGCGCGCGGAATAAATGGTCTTCTTCCTGGAAATGGCTTAAGCTGTATATCCGATGTACAAGAACCCCACTAAAACGATCTTTCAATAATCGCGTGTCTTCTCATTAGCGAGAGGCTGCCGCGGTAAACAATATACAAGGGCACCAATATCGTCAGACATGAGGCGGTGCTAATGCGGGGTCAGTCGGGCTGTGTAAATGGCTGCCACATGACATTCTACCCCCTCCTTCTCTCCTCACTAGGGTGTCAACTCCCGTATCCGCCACCAACCTAACGTGTTAATTTTCTCGTCTTCGCTTTCATCTCGAAGGAAACTGCAAATCGCAAAATTCAAGCCACTTCGCCCGAGAAAGTAGTCGTTGCCGATGCCTTCCGCGAGGTGCAGCACTAGTAATTGTAACGAGTGGGCAGCGACGGGGGAAGACTTCTGCCATGGGTGTCTGGACAAACAGCAAGGCCATCATGTAGACTGCCCTCACGTATGGAGTACTCAAAGAACGATGTACGAATATTGCTAAGCATGAGTAAGCCGACAATGCTGACTGTACTGTAGCATACCGCAGAACTATCGGATGCGCACGACTTGTTCCACGATATCTCCGAACTTTCGGCCACTCTCTTTGCTACCAACAGACAACCACTCAAATGGTCTGACATGTTGCGCCTCGCTTGGGAAATCATGCTCGCAACCGCTTCCACGATACATCTTACCCGACCCTATACCGATGCGTCGGTAGGTGTTGGAGTCATGGCCCGATCTTGCAAGGATTAAGAAGTTGTGATATAGGTATCTGCGGTGGTAGATGGAGTAGAGGCTCAGAAGCATAATCGGCTCCTCTCGTTCTTGGTCGAGAGCGTCGTCATACGTTCTACTTTGCGATTGATCTGAAGTGCCTTGGGTTTCGTTTGCATTGTAGGGTGGTACGGATGCATCAATAGAGAATTCACATGCGGCCCGTTTATCGGTGTTTGGCGAATAAATTGCACCGTCGATGCACATTGTAAAGGTTTCGAAATCGTGAGAAGACCGCCGCAAAAGAGCTGCTACAGTATGGCCTTGCAGAGTCAATGAACATGCCAAAGCTCTGTTATATGGGCCGTCACCAGCAGTCTTGTAGTGATACTTGATCATCGTCGTGTGCTCAATTCGAGAGCCGGGATATGAGTGGCGCGCAAGTCGAAAGTTTACAGCACCAGGCGACGAGACCCACGACCAACTCGGAGCAAGCCATGTTGATGCTCTTGAAGTCGGATCAATATCGCGTTGCCAGACTAGGTCATAAAGCAATGTCTCCTTCCATCCACCCGCAATATACGTATAGCAGGTTTCTGCTCCGAATTTGTTGGCCAGGCCACTCAGAGCTGGGAGCCTGTCCTCAGGAACTTTCAGTTCCCGAGTTGAGTACTCTTCGATTATTTGACTCCAGCTCTTAGAGATGCTTAGAATCCTTTCCGTAGTCGTTGTTCCAGTGAGTACAGGGAAGAGTGGTTGCGCCGGTATTTTGATATGGTGGCACTCGCACTCTTTTGATGTTCTACAGGTCCACTGTAACTCTGCCCCAGTAAAGGCTATAAGTCGCGTTGAGAGCATCTTCTCTTGCAGACCCCATGCTCGTGTATCTAGTGGATCGATGTCTTTTGACCGTCCAGTCTTGGCATGTATACCTCGAGCAATCTTTCTCCTTGCTTTGAATACCACATCCTTTGGGCCTCCTTTGAGTTCGCTGAACAATTCGATTTCTTCGTATATTGGGTTTCGTCTCTGGAACAAAGAGTGGTGCGGGTCCGTCGACAAAGAGGCTGCTATAGTGATGGCAGCTCCTTCATAAATCTGGCCCATTCTTGCAGCTTGCTCTTCCCAATCTGTAGGGCTATCTTGTACTATGCATAGAGTATCAATCCAGAGATAGCAAATGCTAAGACTTTGTGCCATGTCTGCCGCATCTTGGAAAGCTAAAGGAAGCCTGTTTCGGTCGAATCCAAGCTTCATCTCTTGATAGTTCCCTGAAGTAGTCATAGCAAATCCACTGCTACCCCAAGAATACGATAAAGTAGCATATGTGCCCTCCGTACCCGCAGGTGGCTCGATCACACGGTATCGGCTCCTGGAAATATCGACGATTCGTTTTGGAAGCCAGCTTGGTCCCCGACCACACTGCTCCACATGCTCAGTCACGCAGGTGTAGTAATTTTGCTTTAGAAAGTTCACTGACGCTGCGACAGTCGATTCCCTTGGAACATCGTTGCCCACTGTTGGATAGTTGGGTATTGTGTTTGCTACATAGTGATTGCTTAGCGACGAGCATTCATAGAAGTTCCTCCAGAGGACAGACACTTACTCGAACATGGATAGATCTCCACAATCTCATGAAAGCCTTGTTCACCTGAAGAGTGTAGCTCAGCCGGCGAGTCTGGGTAAAGTAGAAGTTCAACCCGCATCTCTGCAGTTACATATTGCAAGAGCAGAAAGCTCTGCAGAACAAGATCACAAAAGAAACACCCCTGCACGGCCGATGTGCGAAAGTCATCAAAGGAGCGGTTAGACACAACAATAAGGCTACGACGATGAGTTTCGTCGTGATCGCGCGTGTATAGGTATCCCAGAGAGCTGCATGTTGGACAACATACATCTGCGGTTCCGTCGACAAGCTCTAAGCGCCTGTCGCGTGGATACCTAGGTATCAGTGGCAACGTGAAGATT